TGACGTGATGTTGACTTCTTTAATGCCATGAAATCGTATCAATTGGAAGAGTCCAAAATGACTAAAAAACATAACTCCTTTTGACGTTCTCCTTCAGAATGAAACAGAAGACATTCTCAGCAGGCAGGTCACCATCAGCTGCTGGTTAGATACTAGGATTTTTCTAGGGAAATAGTATCTTTGAGAACTGTTAAGGAAGTTAAGTCCATTTATACTATGAAACAGTGTAGTGTAAAAGATTTGCAAACAAATACACAAATATTTCTCTCTCCGACAATTCTTACCCAAATCAGAGAAAGCATCCTATTCTCCCGAGTCCTTTAGCATGTGCTTAACTCATGGAAAAAGATATTTTAAGGAGAATTTCTGTAGAGCACTGTGCACCTCCTATCAGCTGCTTCCATGTGGGAATCAGGCCATTTATGTATACAGTTCTTGATTTTGGGGCAATTAAAATCTCAGCCATAATGTTATATTAACACAGAATTTGGTGTGTCTAATGACATATTAAATCTTCCTAAATTATAGCTAAATTACAAAAAGGACTAATTTACCAAAACCAGTTAATAAATGTTTAGAAAAGGAAACTAATTGAATTATCCCTTGTTTGTCAGAGACAGATAATCTCCTTGTGAGAAATCTCATTTTTTCTGAAGCATGATTAATTGGCCTGACGAGTCAGAGATTATGACAAATTACGCAGGAGGAGATAATAAATAAGTCAGTAGGAAAGCTTGGGAGCGGGGAACTAGCAGCTGTTATTTGGTCTGAGCCTGATTCTGATTCTGCTTCTGGATCCACCCTAAGCTGTGGATGGTTTTTTTGGTCCCTCTGAGGACAAGTCTCCCTTAGCTCCTTACCATTACAGATCAATGGCATTCCCAAGGAAGGTGTCTGAAAAGCCACATGCCACTAGGCCAATGACTTGTTCTTAATTCATGAATAATCAAGGCCACAGGATGAGGTTTTTTATTTTTCTTTAGTCAGGGTGGGAAGACATCTATGGCTTACACAGATGGTGCAGTCAAATCTTCATTTTGCTCCTGCTAAACTCAACAGAAGAATTAAAACCAGTTGTAGCCATGACAAGTTCTGAATGTGATACACATCTAAACTCTTCAGCAAAATGTGGCTGGTGGCTATACCACATGAATTCTCCTTGAAAAGAAGGCTTCAACATCTGCTCTGGGACTGCCCAGTTTTAGTGGATGTTGCTGGGATGCTGCTGTGCTTCAAGCTCCAGCACTGAGCAGAGATGAGCCAACGTGGGACACTCACTGTGAAAGAAGTTGCAGATTCTCAGCTTGGCATGGGCTGGTCTGTCCGGGCACAAACATTTTGGACACTAAGTACAACAGAAGGTACAACAGAAACTTCTTGGGCTTGGTGTGTGTCACTGGGAAGTGACTGCCTCTCCAGTAGCAAGCTGATGTGAGCCTGCCATTTACTAAGCTTGTGTTTGCAACTCTGAAAATTCAGATGTCCGCAAGCAGGCACAAAATAGCCCTGACAATTTAGAAGTTTTGTGTTCGGTTGTTTTTTAAAAAAATTATTATTACTACTATTAATTACTAATATTACTATCGATTTCCTGGTTTCTGAGCCTTTATGTTATGGCAGAGATCAGGGCTTCCAGCTATTCTCTACAAGCCCAAGAGCACGATGTATTTTAACTCAGAGGGGGGTTTGCCACAGCCATGCACTTTGAAGACCTGGTGTCTCAAGTAAAGTATCAGCTAGTATAAAACTTCAAATTAAATCATGTCTATTGGCAGCACCTATAATGTCTATTGGCACCTATTGATACCTGGAGGATGAGGATAAATTCATCAACTAGCCTGCCCAGCACTGACAACTGCTTTGCTCATCCTGTGAATATGCAGCAGCCTTTTCTTCTGAGTAGCTGTTTTCTGCTTTATATTACTTTTAAAGTGGCACCTCTTTTGAAGGAGTCCCCACAGGTATCGATTCATTCCTTTGAGCCACTCTAATGGCTTTAAATATGAAACTGTTTAAGACATACAGGGTTTTTTTCCCAGAGGGGGTGAATTGTCTGTATTTTATCGTCATTGGAACAACTCAGCTAGTTTTAATCACAGCAGAGTGTCTTTGCATCTGGTCCCAGTCCTGCGAGTCTTCCCTTGGTACTGTGGAGTAATTGAAGAATATGATTAAAGGTAATTATTTTAATTGTTCATTGACTTGGAAAGATTTCTGATAGCAATAAGTGGAATTTGATCTGTAAAGTGAAAGGCTTTATGGATTTCCTGCATGAGGATAGAGTGCTGCCAGCAGCAGTGTAAGGAATGCAGATGAAACATCGCTGGCCTCCTGCAAGCACTGCATGACTTGTAGGAGGGAAGATATTTTTATAACTACATGCAGAAGACAAGACCTGCACACGGCGCCACAGTTTGCCTGTGAAGCATTTGGGCTTGTTTTTATTACACACAACATTCACCCCCAGAGCAATACCACTGACTTTGCTGTTAGTGCTTGATACAGCTGTGAATAAAGGCATAGGGATATTCAATGGCTTAAAGCCTGAAATATGAGAATCAAGACCAATAATATTCAATAAGGTGAAAAACTTAACACCTAACCATTCCAAAAGCAGTATTTTTCTTGGAGGCAGCAGTAAAGAAGAATGATGGTCTCATAATAATAATTAGATCTCCCACGTTGGACTTGGAAAATGTCTGTTTGCTCTGCTCTGCTGAGGCTGCATTGGCCTTTAGCACAGCACTTTGGCATCTCCATGTCTCATTTCCCCTCTCTATAAATTGTGAACATGCCTTCTTTGGAGTATGGGAATTGCCTTCACACTGTGGGAGTAGGGACCATGCAAATTCATGAATGTAGTAACAGTAAAGGCCTCTATTTTCTTAGTAGATATATTTTCTATGGAATCCACTACTTCTAACTATGGAAAGTAAGTACACCTGAAGATATCAAACTCAACAGCATCTCTTTTGGCTTAGTGATGCTAAGCAGAAGCATGCTGAGGCCAGTAGTATCTGCTAGGAAAGTAGAGGCATGTGTTTGCTGGGCTTAGACTTTGTGCAGGCATTTGTTACTAGCCACTGTGACAAAGAGGCTTCTGGAGAAGGTGAACTTTTATTCTGACCTAGGAAATTTCTTCTCAGAAAGAGAGTGATGCATTGGCACAAGCTGCCCAGGGAGGCAGAGGAGTCACCCACCATCCCTGGAGGTGTTCAGGAAACATGGAGATGTGGCACTGAGGCACATGGTTAGTGGGCATGGTGTCAGTAGTTGGACTAGATGATCTTAGAGGTCCTTTCCAATCTTAATGATTCTATGGTTCTATGATTCTGCATTAGCAGGCACTTGGTATTCCATACCTGGTCTATGAGATCATACAGTGCTACATTTCTTTGCCCTTTCTTTGATTCACATTCCATTTATATTTCTCTTTGTAAGTGAGTATAAACATCTTAGTAAGCAGATTTGGTGTCCTTTGTTTGTGTTTTCCCATTTGAGAATAGCTTGTGGAAGTATTTGTAATAATCTTATTTTGTATTTATATAAGTGTGGTTGTAAGATGCAAACAAAAAAAACTTGACTAAAATGTTCTGATTCTTCACTTATAGCCATGAGAATGAGAGACCAAAGAAATTCAGATTTCAACTGTTTTGATAGAAAATTTGCTGTCCTTTCTGTTTGGGAAGAGTTGAATCTGGCTCTTCTCTTACATCACATGGAGCAGATTTATGTATTTTTCAGTCCAGTGCCTTTGCCTGATCAAGATTATTAACTGTAATTCTCAAGGCCTTTCTCCCCTACTGCTCGTAACTTATCCTTTTTTTTGTTTATTTTCATTGTTATTTCCTGTCAAGTAATGAAATGATGCAAAAGAAATGTTTTTTTACACAAATAAGGGAAGGTAATACCTTCCCTCCCTGACCACATGCTCTCTTCTTTTCCAAGTCTTAATTAAAATGGTACTAAGGGAAGCAAATCAATTAACGGATACCTTACAAGATAGTTTATTCACTTACACAAGTACATGCACAATTACTAGCAAGTATCACATTTAGTTCATCCATTAGCAAATGCTACTAATGAACTGCACTGGAACTGAAGTGGGTAACAGACACCTAGGCAACTCAGGGAAATTATTCCAATATATCACTTTTCTCTGGAATAAAACTTACATTTTCTTGTTCAAAACATGCAAAAAAATCATAATCCAAGCAATAGGGTTTTTCCTTTGTACATTTGGAAACATTACCTGACTTGCTATGGTCAGAACAAAAATACACCCAAATCATTTCAGTTTCTATTAGTATTTAGTACAATATCTTCCTCATAGAAACATAATTTTGGTATTTCTGCTCTGACAGTTTTGATTCTAAGCCCCCAACTCAGGATATCAGCTCTGCCTATAATGCAGGGCTGATTGTGGCTGTTCACAGTCTGGAGGTTAATTACTGGGTTGGGAGGCACCTGGTATCCATGAGTTTTTCAAGTCATGCTTTTTAATAAGATATGGATTTTCCAAGCTGGAGTTGAGTCTAACAGATGTTCTTCTTTCTTCTTATCATTTGTAAGAAGGCTGTACCTAGAATCAGGTAATGCAGAGCTGATGGAAACAAATTGAACAGAATATACAAGGCTAGAACAAGAATGAAGGGGGTGGGAGACTGAAACTATTCAGTAATTCAGAGTGAATTTGGTGCACTGTTTTATACTGAAAAAAATGAAGATGAGTGGATTTTGGAAGTGGTAGATTGGCTTGTTTGTAGAAAGTTGAAATGGAACATTTCATTTCAAATGTGTAGAAAGTTTTTATTTTGGGTATACAACAATATCTCAATTTCAATTTTCTAAAATCAAAACATGAAAAACACTTGTTTGTAATTGACCACAATTCATTTAAAATAGCTGTAATTAACATTATCATCTAAAGTTAAACAAAAGATATTGATCCTAAAGTTAAAAAATATAACTTTAGTTGATGTGAATGAAATGTTTTCAAATTAACACACATCATTTTTCCCATCTTACTTCAACCTCAAATGAATGAGTTTTAAGATAATTCAACCTCATTTGAAATATGAGCACAATTGTGAATTCTGCAGATGAAATGTATTGCTAGCTTTTCGTTTACCCTGGATTTAATTGATTTTAGAAATCAATCATACACTTTTCACAGACTAAACAGGATCTGTTAATGAGCAGAGTTCATCTTGCTTATTTTCCTCCTACATTTCCTTCTTGTGCATGCTGTTGGGGATTATGGGCTTTGTGATGCAGGTGATGGGAGTTAGCATGCACTGTAAGCTCTTCCTGTAACCAATCAATCAATTGGTCTTTCAATTAAAGAACAAAGAAAGGAATTACTACTAGTGAGATTCCTGTTCATGGGCAAGAGATATCCATTGATTCTCAGACCGGGTAACTGTTAATAGGAGAAGGATTATTGCTTATTTGTACTTTGCTGTTCTGGTGTGTTGGTGTCATCTCTGAAAAAAAAAGAAAAGACAGCATTACAGGTTAATGCTAACTTTCTGGTGTTGGTTTATCTAAAAATGATCCATAGCATCATTATAAAAACTGAAGTGAGTGCAGAGAAAAATTACAGGATTTCTACAGAATTATTATTATTGGGGTTGTAATTGCATTCATGAAGTCCTTCCCCCTTGCAGCACAGTCGAGCCATAATGTAGGTAGCCTGCACTATGCCTTATGTTGGGGAATCCCAGTTGTGCATCTGGGATGCAAGAGAATGAGGCAGCTGTATGGCTTGTCACAGCCCACACAGAGTAGACCTGAACTCTCTGGGTGTCAGTAGGAACCAGGCAGATTGTTCCCAGCCCCACATGCACACAGAAACACACCTGTTCTGGCTTGATCCCATATTTGACCTGCAAAGAAAAGCAAGTGAAATATTAATAGCAGCTTTCAGTGCATTCTTCAAAACAAATATGGAAAATATCATCATGTCTGCAGCTAGTGAAATGCAGGAACTTTTCCTCCTTTCTCTTTCTTTCATTGCTCTTAGTGTTTTATTCAGCTTTACTCCATCTAGTGTCAGTGCTTGGAAGTAAGATTTCATCGTGCCTTGCAGCCCTCAGCTGTTAAATGTTCTTAGATCTTGTGACTCGGTGGCAAATGGCATTTGGTCCTCCTCCTTCAATACTACGTAAGTATTTTCTGATGATTTTGCTGAAGAAATACCTTGCAGGACATCAGGCAACCAGGGATGGATTTCTTGTAACATGCCTCAAACTTTTTCCTCCTCTGAGAAAAGTTTTATCACATTGTTCTTTTTGAAAGTTGTGCTGAAATTGTCTGTTAATGTGAAATTTGCTGTGCCAACCATTTGTGTCAGTAAGAAACAGCTAAGAGCTGATCTGCAATCTTCTAGCTTGAACTTGGCATAAAGTCTACAGGAGAGCATACAGAGCTCTCAGGTTCCTGGAGCTTGTCTCTTTTGCCTTCACCAGGCTACTCTGCAGACAAAGTAATTCCAAGTAGAGACACCGCTCTGCTGTGGTTTGGGGTACTACAATTAAATACCAGCTCTTTTCAAAGAGGAGAGAGACCTGAGAACACCATCAGGGACCAGATGTCTGCGGTGCTTATGAACTTGTCAAAATTTCTTCACACACACGTAAAAAGACACAAAATTAAGCATATAAATTAAGTCACACAAATTTCTGCCTGTCTGCAACTGTAGTCATTAAAATAATAGTAATAATTCCGCTTTTATTCTGGCCACGGCAGCTGATTAATGCAGAATGAGGCCAGTGCAAAGTGATCCGAGCTAACTGGAGTGAATCAGCAGTGGGTTAGGTTTAGGGATGCTCACCTGATCCCATTCCCTGCCTGTGTTTGGGGGGAGGTGGCAGGGAGCTGCTGGGACAGACACTGTCTTCCAGCCCTGTTCTGAAGAGATTGGCAGCCCCGTCCTAAATAATTTGAATTCTCTGCATTTGGGAGCAGCAGAGAAGACTGCTTGGGAGGCTGATGCTCTTTGAGCTGTGCTGTGTACTTGGTAAGTTTCTTACAGAGAATGGCTTTCTTGCTGTTACTCTCAGGCTTCTTTCCCACAAGTGGCAGTGCAAGCTGGCACACAAAAGGTGGTCCAGCCTTCCTAAGCACACTGGCTTTAGAATTCCATCACTTCCTTTGTGCTGGCCATCCTTGAGCAGCCTGTTCTCACTAAAAGTGGTTGTTGCTATGCCATGCAGATTTGCAGCAGGTCTGATTCTCTGGGCAGAGCACACAGATGTTTTGGGAGGGAGGGGGGAGCAGGACAGGATTTCTTTGAGATGGGACCATCCTTTGGGAACAGCTCACACTCGTACTGTGCTCTCCTCCAGAGAGCAGTGGAAGCTCACTCCCAGGTCACAAGGACTCAAAAGGCAGTACTGTTAACTAAAGGATAGTTGCTCCTGGCTCCACCACCTCTTCTGTACCAGTAAATCAAACTAGGGAGTGGGTCAGGTGTTGTGATTTAATGCACTGAAAATACCCTAGTTACTTTTCAGCTAGTGGTTTTCTGTCTTTTTCTATTTACAAGTTCATATTCGCTTTCTGTTGATGTGTAGGCATCGTGAATGGTATTTAAGCCAAATTTAAACACATGTGAAAAGTCTTAAGGCCCTATAAACCCCTCAGAAATAGCCTACAGAACCCCCAGGCACTTGCAGCCTGCAAGGCAGAAGTCAGAATTTCATTTTGTGACACTTGCTCTTTTTTTCAGCTCTCAGACACCAGGCTGAAAAGCTGTGATACCCTGTGAGGCCCCGTACAAAATGCATATGAAGTATTGAGGTGAGTGCATGCAGTGATAGAAGACAGACTTGGCATGGGTGCTGGGTAGGTTTTTTCTGGGAGCAGGAGCCCTCTGCCCTGCAGCCAGGGCAGGAGTTAACGCACCCCAGGTGGGTGTTGATAGCAGCACAGAGGGTGATCTTCCACCTGTGAACTTGTATCTAGGTTTGCATCAGCTCCAGGGAAAGGCAGGATTCTTTAGTGCTGGAGTCAGGGCACCAGTGGGTTTGCCAGCAAAGACCACGATGGCTGTGGAAGGAATTGCCTCCGACAGGTGTCTGAATATTACCAGGAAAGCATTCTCCTGACTCAGCAGTTTTGGGACTAGCTCTTACAATCAAATGATTTAGAGCTATTCAGGACTAGCCCAAACAGTTGTGCAGAGGAGGAGGAAGGAATAAGGATTCCTGTCTGTTTGGCAGCTGTAGAAAGGTCAACTGCAAATGCAGCCCCCAGATCTGATGAGAGCACAGGCATCTTGGGGCAGATGCTCTCCTAGAGAATGTGGAAAGTAGCCAGGAAGAGGAAAAAATAGCCAGAAGTGTGGCTTTGCCCATCAGGCATCCGTGAAGTATCCTGGAATGGGATTTAATGAACCCTAACAGTCTGGGCTGTGTGTATATAATACTGCTTCTGTGTGTATGCATCTGTATATTAAATATTCCCTGATTTCATGAATAGTGCTAAAGTCATTGAGGGCCAGAAACTGCCTACCAATTGCCTTAGGACTGCTTTTTACAGCCTGGTGTTCAGAGCACAGTACAAAGCTCAGTGTCCTTGGTTTTGACGTATGTAATTACAAAGATTAATTTCATTTTATTTAAAGGGTAGCCTGAGCAAAAGTAACTTGCCAAGGTTGTTCAGAAGAGCAACCTTCTGCTAGGCAAGATAGTTACAGAACTAGGTAGAAAAGCCAGTTTATTGCTCCGTTTGTTGCCTTAACAGAGAATGGGTATTTAAAATTTGTTTCTGCAATTATGTATTTGCAAGAGGTTGAGACAGCCATTTTTGCTAGGATTACTTGCCCTTCTTTTTTAATATAGTTACACAAATACGCAAGAATTTGTTTAGACCACCTTTGCCTGTTTCTATGTGTGTTTACTGGCAATCGCGTGCATGACTACAGTTTTGGGTAGCTTTTAAACATTTTTCATTAACCTCAGTTCCCAGAGTTCATTCTGAGAACACCTGTTTGTTTTTTTTTTTTTCCAAAGAATTACTGGAATGAATGCGACCTTCAGTCTATCCTTAACACTGAGCAAAGAATCAGACCTGATCCAGTATATTTTGGCTGGGCTCATCTTGTGCAGGTTTGTACTGGTCCTTAGCGAAGTGTCAAAGCACTCCCACTGCCAGAGTGGACAGTAACTCTCCAAGTTGTCTTCCACTCACATTCCCGCAATAGTTGTTCACTGCTGATATTTTTTCATGGTGACAGTGCAAAGGGAAGCTTTGCCATCTAAGCAGACCACAAAGGATCGTTTTTGATTGATTCGGTAAAGTAGATGCCTTCTTTGCAAATCTCATTTAGGTTATGGAGGCTATGTCTTTGTTTTTCCTTATTTGTAAACCTCTAATGATTGATGAAAACCCCATTGGCATGATGACTGTGCTGTCTGGAGAATGCATTAGTTGGGAGAATTTGAGAAAGTCTTCTGGAGAAAGTATGAGTGGTGAAAGAATAGCTCAAAGTATATATAGCTGAGGAACGGTAAGAGAGAGCTTTCTGATCTTTGATCCTAAAGGTGTCAGAGATTCTATTGAATGACCCAGACCCAAGGAAAAACACTGGCCATCATAGTTTAAAAAGAGAGTAAAAGAGGCTTGTTTTAGGAAAGCAAGCACAGATGCCGGTGCCTCAGTGATGCTAGGGATGTTGGGTTTGCCTGGATGACTGGGAATTTAAAGAGAACAGAGATGCAAGTTACAGCTAATTCTTTTCCCTTTGATGCCTCAATTCTCATACAAGATGCTCCATGAATGTGTATGAGAAAGCTTCTTTGAAGTGATGATAACTTCTGTAGGAAGAACAATAGCACTGAATGGCAGCATCCTCACAGATGTCTGAACAAATCCTGAACGGGGCCATGGCTTGAATGAAACAGTGAAAATGGACAAGCCTTATACCAGATATCTCCAAGCTGAAAAGTGAAACACCTTACTTCTGGGAAGTATGTCCTCTTAACATCAGATTAGTTCAAAGAAAACATCCATCTCCAAGGCTGACATATTTCCATATGAGGAAATTGCTGCACGGAAAAGTAATTAAAATTCACAAAAATTGCTCTATTGTGGTTTAAATAGCAGTCCCTGCTTCCTCCTGTCTTCATTTAAAAATTTGCTGTGGAGAAGACAGTTTAGTTACTCTGATTGGTAACTATAAAATAGAATTCCTTTGCAGATGTATTTTTGGCATCTTGCTATTTCAAGAACTTTTTCCTGTGAACTTGCCTATAGTACAGCAGCAGTATGTGTTTGCATCTTAAGCAGATATGATTTCAATGGATAGTAGAGTGGCTGAGAGGCTGGACATATAGTGTTACGTGTGGATAACTGATCCAGGGGTTGAGCCATTGCAAAGCATTTCAGGGCGCAGAGTCCTGAACAGCCCGCATTCTGGATCTTAATTCTTTTTCCCCATGCACCACCTTTCCCCATGACACATTTAAATAAGGGCAAAACCTCTTCTTTTTAAATGCATCTTCACTTAAAGATTTTGATTTGTGAATTTTCTGAAGGATTCCTCCTTGAGACTTTCTCAAGTACCCTAGCATTAAAATAAGGTCACCAGTTAAGTTTTTGAGCTCAGACTTCAGCTAATAGTATCAGTGGTGTGACTTATGTCTACTTGATTGCTTCCTGCAGTTCATGGTATTATAGACCAGTCTGGACTACTTAGATCAAAAGCAAACTTAAGAACTGTTCTCCACTTGAAAATATGATGTTTTTCTTTCTTTGTGGCTCTAAACCCGATGGGAAGCACTGAAACTTAGATCAGCTATTGTTAATGTTCATTATTTCTGCCTGTCTGTGCAGCTGAATACAAGCCCAAATGTAATAAAACAGGAAAAAGGTTCTTAACCTAAATTTATAGGCTGAGACAGTTTCTATAACCTATGGAGCTTCTGGAAGAAACTGCAGCTCAACATTCAAACTTGTGCTTCATTGTCCAAAACATGTCTTTGCAGTGCCATCTATCTCTGGTGTTTATCTTTTCCAAATGGATGATTTCCCCTTCTGTTTAATCCATAGCAGTATTTTTAGAGTTGAACAACATAGAGAATGGAGGCTTTCAAGATGCAATGATTGTTTCTCCACGGTTTTAGAGAGGGAGATTAGATGTAAGCAATGAGCCATGACTTCAAACCCTGTCTCAGCCTCAAAGGTTATCATTTCGTGGGGGCTTTGAGAATTTGCTCAGCTGCAGGCCCTTCGCAGATTGCCGGTAGCCTAGACAGTAACACGCTATTTCTACAAAACACTTCTTGTACTCTGCAATTGTAATTTTCCTCTGTTCAATGGGGATGTTCAGTGCAAGAGACCATCCCTGCAGGCTCCTTTTATGCAGTGAAACTGGGTAGGCTGAAACTAAATGTGGCTAAAATTAAACCTTGCCTCCCAGAGGAACACCTTTGAGCTGGAGATGCAACTGTGTCCTGCATTTCTGGGCTGTAGTGAGCCATTATGTGCATGGAGAATACACAGTGCCATCATGTGCCGCTCTGTGTGATTTGTTGCTGGTAAAGGACATCTTTTGCCTGTTTCATGAGGGTGTAGGAAGAAAGGAGAACTGTTTTTCATGGAGCTGCTTCTAATTATAGTCTTTAAGTATCTTACTGCCTTGAAATTGCTTATTGACCTTACTATTATTTATGAAAATCTGACATGACCAGGAAGGTGCATCACTCATGCTTGGAGTGCACAGATTTTGTGTGGTCAGAATGAGGAAAGAGGGTTTTTCCTTTCAATGGGCATGGTCTGCTACAACCCACTGGAAAAATTCCACCAGCTGAGAATAGTGCAAGGATGACAGTATTTAGCTGAGTTGTTTTTCCCTTCAAAAAAGAGATTTAAAACATATATTTAGTTTAATTCCAAGCCCTCTGAATTTTGTCTAAAGAATCCTCTGACATGCATACCATGTATTTCACAAGAAAAGTCCAGCAATGGAAAGAAATGGAAGAAATCAAGTGTAAACTCAAGAGAACATCTAGATGCTTGTTTGGGTAGCAAAAGAAAATCGCCGATCTGCTTGGCACTTTGTGTGTGCAGCTCTGAAGCTCCTCCTTCACATATCAGAATGACCTGTGCATTGCATTTAAAACCTGATCTTATGCTGAGTGATTTACGCAGGAGCCTGTAGAAGCCACGAAGCTGCATGATGAGTTTTGATATACATTGCTGCTAAGAATGTGTTGAGGCAACAGATTATTTTAGCTATTTCAGCAGGATCAAATGTGTGCCTTTCCATTTTACTCCATGTCCTCTGTCTCTCCATCCTTCTCCTTGTCTCTGTACGCCTCTTTCTTTGTCTCCTGTCAGAATAAATCTGGCTGCCATACACTGTAGTTAACTCAAAATATTGCTAGCATTAAATGTGCCCAGACATTTTTATTAATACATTAAACTTGCATGAAATTTTAGGCATTATAATTTACTAAGCTTACACCAAGATGATATTTGAAACTGACATGAGCTATTAATTAAAAAAAAAGGACATTAAATAATTGTCAGTTGACATCTAAATTACTGTTTTGTTAGTTGACAGCAGCTTGCCTCAAGGCTCTTTCTCTTCTCAGGTGTTAGTAAATATTCCATTGTGTTTAAGGGCACCCCATTGTGAACTGATTGTTTAAGCCATGTGTTATATGCCTGACTTATTACAGAGGTAAACACTGTGAGTTATTTCACGGTGAACTGGTATCATATAGAGCTAGAAATACTTCTGTTGTAATGGCTTGGGAAAACAGTGAAAGTGACACGTGGGAATGCTGTCTGACTTTGGTGAAAACATGACCTTGTAGTGTTTTCTCTTAGGTTAGGTTCCACGGCTCTAAAATGAAAGGGGATTATCTGCATTCCTTTGTCTGTTCTAAGTTTGATGACCATGATGACACTGCTCTGGATGACATCCACCTAAGTTTATGACAGTCATTGGGATGGCTTGAGGCACTTATGGGTACAATATGTGAAATTTGAAACAAAATTTTAGCAAGTGTGGTGTCAGTTGGATTGAGGTGGTGGTTTTTTGTTTTACTTTTCCCTGAGCAATCATCAGTGGTCAAGTAGAAAATTGTCTGCAGATGATATATACCAGTTTTCCTCTCCAGTCCTAAAGGAGTGATACACTGATTATCACTTAGAATGCCTGTATGATTGATTGGAATAAACTTAGGAGGTAGTAATTTGTAGTAGAGGAGTTTTCTTTATCAAAAGGGTTTTCCAGAATGAGCCACTGGCCTAGAAATGCCATGAATTAGAGTCCTCAGAGTATTGAAGCAAGTAGTGAAAATTAGGTTACATCTGATTATCATGTCTCCATTGACCTGAGTAAATGGAGAGTTATCCCTTTGACCTATAGGAAAAAATGAATCTAATAAAATGAGCATATAGCTTGGTTACTCTTGTGGAAATTCACAGTACTTATAATACTGTAGTGTTTACAATGTAAGTATTCAAGGTAAATAATATTTGTGGACTGTTGACTGGATGATCTTGGAAGTCTCTTCAAGCTTTGGTGATTATGATATTTAAGTGTGGCTTTCAAGAAAGTGATGGTTTCTGGTCCAGTGTCCTGAGGAGTTGCAGTGTTCATGTGTTATGAGGTTTTTTGTTTGTTTGCTTTTTTTTTTTTTTCCAAGTTGTTAGGAACAGCTCCTTCCCATACATTTTATTTTTAGACATACAAATGTCCTCAAACACTTAAATGATGAATGTTAAAATCTAAAACATATACCACCATTTGTTGAGTCCTACAAAGAAGAGATGCCAGTATGAATAAGAGTCCTGTGGAAAGGTCCTGTAAAGGGTAGGAGAAAAGATGAAATAGAACATTGGATTTTGTATGCTGCATTTCCCTTTGATTTTTCTGTGACTAGATAGTTTATATTGAAGAATGATAGTGCAAGAACAAGTTTTTGCTGAGATGTGGAATAGCATAGATTTGTTTATAAAACAAACTATGTTATATACTTCCTAGCTAAAAAGTGGTGTTATCTCAAGAATATCTGTATTTCACAGGTAATACTGTTGTTTTCTCACTAATATCCTCATAAGCTCCTTAGAGCCTAATGTACATGTTTGCATCACCTGCAGCATTGTTTTTATCAGTTGTGCTACTCTATCATTATAGTAGATAAACAAGAACAGATTACATATTTGTTACTCACTGAGGCTTGCATAATATACTAACTCTTACACTTACAAAACAATGGTTTCCTCAAGACCAGTAAAAGTAAATACTGTTTCCTCAGATCAGCTTCTGTTTTATAGAACCCCTTTAAAATCCACTAAGGAGTAGTACATAGGTGCCTCAAAGTGAACAAGAACAAAGGAGTTTATACATTACTCAGTGCTATAATAAAATTAAAAAGTACAACTAAGAAAAGATGGTGGGTTTCCAGTTGTTTTCTACTTAACAGAAAAACATCATCTTTAGCATACATAGTTTTGCCCCTAAATATTCTGGAATTACAGCTTTTCTCACTGGTCAGGGTCAGTGGCTCAAAGGCAGAAAACTTATATGCATTGCATCCTGTTTCCAGCCTGAAGATCAGAATTTTAACATGCAACTGGGAACTTCTACCTTTTAGCAACTGCTTGTAGACTGGGACAAGGAATCATCTGAGAGGCCAGTGTAAGATCATCATTAAGGCTGCTAAATCTTGCTGCCATGACAAAATCAGTCGCTTCCCCTAGGAAGATCAGAGGGAAGGTGTCATGGATGCTCATACTGTCTCTATGGTTTCTGTTTTGCTTTAGTTTTCTTCCTCACCTGCTCTTCCTCATTCACTGCTGTCCATACTGTCCTTAGCTCACCAGAAACAGTGTACTACGTGCTCAATGTTTTGTCTTCTGACTGTACGATAGTCCTAATTTGTTTTGGGTTGATAGGCAGAAATTGTGAGTGCCTTGGAAGAAAATAGATTGAATGCTCTGTGATGTGAAAGGAAACGGGTTTTGTGCCCATTAGCTGGTTTAGGTTGTGAAAGCATCTTCCTTGGAAAACATTATATGCTTCAGGCTGGGGCCTTTTTCTGTCAAGCAAAACACTGAAGTACTTTTCTCAAGGAATGTCCTTGTCTTGATCTTCAACTGAATGTCTGCATATGTTGTATGGCCTCTGTGAGGAATGGCGGTGATGGGGACATGCCTATTAGCCTCATATTCATCTCTTTGAGAGAGGCTAAAAGGCTTTTCTTAGGTCACTGAGAACAGCTGTTGCCTTCACTTTATGAGAATGCTGATTAATTTATGTAATCTCTTTTCTAGTTACTTATAAAGTGTCTTGTAGAAACACAAAACATCATCTACTCCTGCAGATTATTGTGATCCAACAGACAACTTGCAGGCTACGTTTCCCACTGTGTACATCTCTGCCCTATTGAATGACCTCAGATGAGGAGCAGTCATCTCCTAAGCAATCTGGCATTGCCTCTCGTATCATTAGGTGCTCAAAACATATAGTGGACTTGCTGTTTCTGGGTAGGGGGAAAGAAATTAAAGAGTAAAAATGTATCCCTTCCAGAATGATCACTGTATGACTTGATCTGTAAGAAACCTGGGGAAAAGGGAGATCTCAGAACTGGTCCATTCATAGTGACTGGGAAGCTTTGGACAAAGCCATTTGCTTAGATTTGTATATATTTAATCTAAAGCACTTTTGAAAATATCAGTATCATGAAAACAAAAAATACAGAAAAATTCTAACAGTGTGAAAGAAAACCCTTGAAACAAGGCGTTTGGCTTTCATCTAGTAATTCATTTAATGGTTTTGGGGTTGTTTTTTTTGTTGGTTTGTTTTTGATGATGTTGTTTTGGAGGGCTGGTGATTAAAACTTGCAATTGTAATATGTAATACAAAATAAATAGGCAGAATCAAAAGTATTTGAACTATTTACTTTTTAAAAGAAATCTCATCCTACTGAGATGTTTTTTTCCAGTTCTTACATGTCAAACTCCTGTTGAATGGGATTTCCCTTTTCCATGCTGCTCCACTAGATATACTGGTGTATGGTAACTGTTGAGTCACGGCCTGAACCACTGATTGAGCACGTGGGGAAAGGACTGGGTCAGCCCTGAGAGCACAGGTGAAGGCAATTCAGCTGTGTGACCGGAAGAAATGGCTGCACCTCTCTTAGACCCCATTTAAAGGCTGACCGCCACTGGGGAAAGTTCTCTGAGATCCCTCTTTTGTGGAGTTTTCTCTGAGAGCTTAGAGTTTCAGAGACTGGTGAGCACTTTTTCTTTTTCTTTGAAACGCCTTTCCATTTGTGCTAGTCTCTTTGTCATTACACCTCCTGTATTGCCATTCCACTGCACTGATCTTTCTGATCATTACAACTGGGTAGCATGGTCCTCTAGAGACCCGCATATATGTTGTGTTATCTTTTAAATCACAGCTGCAGGGAAATATCATGCATAAAGACAGCAGAGTTAGTTACTACAGTTGGCATATCACACTGCATCTCAGAAGACCCCCAAAGCAATGACTCTTACCTTCTATCCATTTTGCCCTCTGACTCTAAAGAGAGAACAGGAAAATAGGATTAGTTAAAAAGCAAGGAACAGGGTGGTGATAGACCTGTTTAGAAGTAGTGAGGATGCAACCAGAACAAGTGGTGAAGCAGGGAAAACTATCCTGTCTGAGGTAAAACTCTGATACTAGCAGTACCACGTAACATTCCTAAAGCCTTTCTCAGTTCTTCCATCTGGAATCTCTTCTGACAATTTTTCTCAAAATTATTTTTGTTTTTATTTTAGCTATTTTGAGATTGTAGTACATCCTCAGAGTATAATGAGGACCAACTTCAAGGACAGATGCTTGATGAAAATTAGGAGGAACTAGTTTCCCCTTAGGACCATTGCATACTGCCCATAAAGAAGACATCAGCCATTTGTCTTTCAGGAAGTGGCATTACAATATCATTTGTGTCCTCATGGGGTGCCTGGGGAGTCTGTTTGCAAAGATATCCATTAAGAGATCAGCATTTACTGAAAATGGCATTGAATCTATGCTATGATGGAGACCAAAAGGCTAGGCTCAGGGAGCTCAATCTACTTCACTTCATGCTTGATAGTTAAGACAGCTCTGCTCTTCTTTTTACTAAGCAAGAGACTGTATCTGCTGTTGAAGGGCTGGGACATGGTAAACTGCTGAATTAATAGTTATACAGTTTGGGATGCTGGGACATAACTTCTTGTTTGTCGCATGAAGGCTAAAGTGAAGATACAGTCGCAGAACCAAGTTCTAGATATAGTGAACAGATGGGTGGTTCCCAATCCTGTTATGTAGCAGCCTGGCTGCACTGAATTCTTTCCTTGCATTTTTCAGATTGACATCTTTAATAACTTCTTTTATTTTTAAAGTGATGGGAATGTGCTAAGTTTAGGGGAATTCCTTTGTTCTGAAAAATGAGCTACACAGAGCTGGTGCTTTGCATGCACCTTGAGCTGCAAAGTTGATTTTTGAAATCCACTCCTGTCCATCCTACAAATCCAACAGACTCTTACTTACATTGAATAGGTAGAATTTTGTTTTAAAAATTCGTTACCCAGAAAGATATCCAAGCAGTAAGCTGTAGTGAATCGTATTTCTCTAGTTAAGTGGAATAGCTGATTTAGTTACACTGAAAACTTCTGGGTCCCTAGCACTTCCGACATTTTCAAATAGTTCTTCAGAGGAAAATTGGAGTTGCAACAAACATGCAATGCCTAGCAGCAGAGCTCAGATCTGCTGATCCAGAGCACAAGGAAATCTAGAACTCTGAATAAGAAATCAGGAGTAATTTCTCTTACCTCTGAAGACGTGGTCAAGCATTTGTTTTTTGATCATGCAAATTATTACTGCTATAAAAGCAATTGCTAGAAAGGCTCCCAGAGTAACTCCTATAATAAGATATGTGAAATCTGTAAAAATGGAAAACAAATCTGTGAATATGCACCAATAATTAATAAACAGAACTGTGTTTCAGATATGGTAACACAAAGTTGCAAAGTTAAAAAATTTTTGTTTGTTTATTTTTATTGGTTTTCTCTTCTTGAGAAGGGGCTGACAAAGCTGAGCCAGACTGGTTAGCTGAGAATACTAACATACCAGACTGCCTCTGTATAGCATGAAGTTGTGCAAGCCTGTTGGCTAATGGGCTCAATGAAGTTTTATGATAATGAACAAGTTTAGCATTCAGTGTGTCCAGGTCTCAGCTGAGTTTTATAGCTACAACTCTAATTTTTCCCTCAAAATGGATCCCAAAATCCCAACTGCCCTTCACTTTGTATCCCCAGACTCATATTCCTGCCTCCTGACTGCTCTGTATGTGAGTCCTTACTAGGAAGAAGATTTTTTTTTTTTTAAGTGTAAACTGCAAAGCATATCATGATTCGTGTGTGCACCATAGGGATCCACCTTCATCCATCAGGCTGAGGCTATAGTCCCACAGCAAGACTTTACTGTGCTAGGAAAAGTACAAGCACATAAGCAGAGTATGATTTTCTGTACATAAAAAGCATGTGAATTCTTCTAGATATATAACGCAAAAAGGAATGTAGTTTTTCGCTTTCCTGTCCCCATGAACTCACCTATTTCCTCTGTGTTTCCAGAAGCATATACCTTTGCTCTCCAAAAATCTGAAACATAAATATTTTGGCCTGTTAGAACATCAAGAAAAGTGTTCTACATCTACCTGGGTAAAACTGAGAATGGTGTATCAGTCATTCTGCCTTCTTTGGTGGCTGGGCTTTCATTTCTTCTCCAGTAAAATGAATGCTAGAAATAGGATTGCTTTTAAACTTGAAGTATAATCCTCTTCTTCCCAAAGCCATGCAACCAATCATTTTGGTCCCTTTAGAGAGTCCACCTTAAGTCTGCTTTGCAGATGGCTGGAAACCTCTCTTGAGCTGAGCATGGGCTCTGGGAATTCTGACATGATGTCAAAAAATCTGATCTATTGGGTAGCTCTGAACAGATTTATTTTTATTTACTGATCTTAGTCACATTTTTAATCCCAAATTTTCATAAATTATGAACCAAGCTTCAAAGCTATGGAGAGAAGCTTAAAACAAGCTCTTGCATTTTAAACCAAATGTATTTTGGGAGCTGTAATTCTCAGCTGAAAGTATTTTTTTTCCCCCTAAACTGTTCTTCATAATCAAAATGTCTGGAAATTTATTTTATACAGACAGAAACAAAACACTTTTCTCTTCAAAAATCCCATGATGCTTTGAGATGGGAGTTGGGAGGTGTGAGGAATTTGTTTCCGGATCCGACCACAAAGATGTTTGTTTAACCTGACCAAAATTGAAGTTATAAAGAGAAGGAAATTTAAATAAATAAAACTAAGACTACGTTGTTGGTGTAAAAAGCAAAGCTCCTGGGTTTCCAGATTCACAATCAGTCTCTTTTAGTCTCTTTGCTCTTGCCTGTGAATTTATTTCATTATAAATTAAAAATAATTTTTAAAAAGCCACCTTTCTTCTACCTCTCTAATTATTCTTTGTGCTCATATGAAGAATGTTTCAAATTCAAACATAATAAAAGTTATATTGTATTACTTTTATTATCCTAATGGTCATAATACATAGACCTTAATGTATGCTTTCTAATAGAATTAAACCAGTGACAGATTATGTGTTTTATGGCAGAAATAATATTTTACATGGAATATTTTATGTAGGTCAGTTTAATATATTGAGATTTAATTATTAGTTTCCTTCTAAAAAAAGGAGGGAGGGAAATCTCTGAAATCCCATGGGACTGAAGGGGATGTTTTCAGTTCATACTTCCAATATGATTTTAATTAACATCTAATATCATTTACTAGATGCTCCTTAAAAACCTTTCACTTTTGAGGAGTGAGTGTTAGATGGCTGTCTTCTGTTTGCTTTGGTTTTTCCTTAGGTGGAAAGAAATGGATTAATGCAGTCATAGAATCATTAAGACTGGAAAGACCACTGAGATCATCTAGCATAACCATCAACCCATACACATGCATGTCGATGATTGATCTAAGTCCTGCCTTCAGCTCTGATCTCTTGGGGATGGACACAATCCTCAAGGGTGACAGCAATGATTCCCAATGCTCTGCAGCACCCCAGGCCCAGTTCTAGCTTTCTGACTGGCTCTCATCTCTGGGTTCGGACTATCTCCCATCCTTTCAATAGACCCTCTGAACTTGGACAAGATTTGCTTCTGGGTCATAGAACCTTGAAGATGAGTTTGATATCTCTATTGGAGTGACTTCCGGATCATTCTCAAAGGATCTTGAGGCAACTGATGGAGCTTTCTGATCCCTCAAATGTGCCTGACTCATCCATAACATGAAATTTGCACCATAACACAGGTTGATGACTTTGTGGAGAGACACCACTGAGTTTTACTGATACTGTACGGCCAGTTTGCCTGCCTAAATCCAGTCTAATCTGCAGTACTGGATATCTGGGTGGGGAGCAGAATGCCAAGGAGGTAAAACAGCAAGTGACTTGAATTATGTCATGGTACCTTAATAGGACATTCTACGTGTAATTCTATCAATATCTGCAATGGCATGATTTTCTCTACGATGATCTGTACTGGATAGTTAGAAGGTGGAATTGATTCTTGTCAAGGGGACAGTGGAAGTCTTCTGATAACAAACAAACCCTGTGTGGTTGTTTGGAGATACCAACTGGGGAAGTGGCTGCACTAGTTCCAATAGGCCTGGAATTTATCGAAATATAACTGTGTTTAAAGACTGGATTTATAAAAACATGTATGCCAACAGATGGCAATGCCATCTGGTTGTTCTATGATACTGATTGTGTTGATGTTGCATATTGTGTTTGAACCAGGAGCCATGATTTTATTTACTACCCTGGAGGTAAAACAGCAAGCAGGTGATGAATCCATATATATATATATGTATATATATATATATATATATATATATATATATTTGCACCATATATATATATAAAAATTCCCCAGACTGCGAGGGGACCTGAATCTCCTGTAACCTGCCATAATAAAAACATGCACCTTGTCTCCCTTGATGCACAGCTCCTTCCTCACTCCCTTCTATTGCCTCCTGTTTCCATGTGATTTTCTTCCTCCTCCCTCTCAGATTTCTCCTTTTCATTGGATCAGGTAGTGGTTGGCCTTGTGGCACTGAAGTAGCCAGGGGTTCAGCATCTGCCTCCTTTTGGGGGGAGCAAAGGGGGAAGGAAGAAAATAACTGGGAAGCTGAGAGGTAATGTGGAATAAAAGGTCTCACTGTGTATCTGAGCAACTCCATAGTCAAAAAGGAATGACTTCAACAAAGAAGTTATTACTGGCAATGACTCCACTGAAAACAATTCCTGAAAACCATTTGTAGTGGAAATGCTGAGTCATGGCTTGAAGCAGTGATTGAGCACCTGGTGGGAAGGCAGGGCCAACCCAGGTGAACTCAGGTGCATGCAAAGCTCCTGATTGACCAGAAGAGGTAAAGCCAGGATATACCCTTTCCTAGACCTCATTTAAGTGTTGGCAGTGGAGGCAAGGGTATCTTGGTGGAGATTCCTGCATACCTGAGGCGTTTTGAAGGTAAGCAGTTTTTTTCCCTTTATTTCTGTGCTAACGACTACTATATCTGAGTGAATCCTCTCTTGCTGCAGCCTAGGACTTTGCTACTCTGCTGTCATTTCTGTGTTTTCCATCATGTTACAGCATTATTTAATAATAATAATAATAATAATAATAATATTTGGCTGGTGTTTGATGCAGCAAAATTCTAAGCTAAATATAAATTCTGTAAGGTAGGCATTGTTCACATCTGTGTAAATGGTTTCCTTCCTCTGTCCTTTTCCACAGAAGACAAATGTCCCTCCTACAAGGAAGCAGGAACTCCTCTAGTCCTTGCCAGGCTCCTCTCTATCCAAGGCCCACAGATATGGTATTGTCTGCACCCTTCTGTGTAATGTTTGGAGGCATGTCAATGCATTTTCCTTGTATCTATTGCAGAGTAGCTTTTGCATGTCTTGCTGTTCTTAGGTCTACATCTCCTTGCTCCAGGGAAATGTTGCCGTATTAATGGGACTTGCACCATTTGTTTGCTGAGCAATAGCTAGTCAGTAATAGGGAGCATTTGCTGCTGACATTCTCTTCACATCTATAAGCACAGCTGGTTAACCATGTCCTTTGTGGCAAACAGCCTCATTCCTCTGGGTTCTTGGGAGCATCCATAGGAAGGCGCAGAGAACGTCAAAAGCCAACAAAGTGGTACTGAGAGTGACAAATTTCTATGCATACTAAGAAAGATGGAATGAGGACAGAGCACTGCTCTAGACCTATGGATAGTATTGCTTGCAGAGGCAGCAGGAGCATGTTTCCAGTGAATGTTAGGGGGAATGTCTGTTCTGCGTGCTTCAGGTGGGGAAAACTATCTGTGGTATTCCCCAAGGACAGGTGATTTTCTGTGAATTTCTGCTTGAAATAGGGTGGCATGGGGTGTCTGTTTGGTGACAATGAGGTTTCGACCACCAGAGGGTGCCTGCCCCCTTACCTAATGTCTTGGAGGTCACAGTAACCCATGTAAGCTTCTGTTGTGGAGTTGCTATCAACTCCTTCCTCTCTGGTAGTCCACCTCAGCTCCAATGTTAACATGAGTTCTGATGATACTTCCTAGCTGTGTGACCCAGTGCTTCCCTACAAAAAATGGAGCTGAGAAACCATGAAGCAAGAGGCAAGTTATGAGGGTGACAAAGCCTTGCATTGGCTTGAAAGCTATAGAAGCATCATCCTGAGTCAGGAGCTTCAACATCCTATGAGAGACACAGAGACCAAAAGTGGTTTGCAGGTAGCATGCATGTGGATCAATTTCTTCCTATGCTCCATTGAACTACTTTCCTGCATTGTGCCAAACAGGATGCTTGGCAGCTTTGCCATCTCATCTGCAAAGGTGCATGCTTTTAACTTCAGGATGTCTTCTGGATGATGCCTTAGTACTCAAGCTAGGAAATCTTGGCTAGAAAGCACAGTAAAATTCTATGCTGTTTCAACATAAGTTCCTTCCCTAAGGATCAGAGTTCTAAATAAATTCTTAAACAGCATACATGCAGTCATATGGGAAATAACCCCACAAAGGTCAGGGGAAAAAAAGCACCTCTCTAAAAGGATGAAAAAGAAATACAATAGACCACTTACGTAAGAGAAGAAGAAACGTCATTAGGACTGGTATCCAGCTTGCTTGTGAGGTCATTATGAAGTTTTGAGAGCAGAGTAATTTCACCCAAGTTTTCTGAATTTAGTTCTTCTGTAGTGAAGAGGGAGACAAAAAAGCCAGGTCACGTGGTGTATAGGGAAGTAACAGTCACATCCTGCGTAGTTAAACTTGCAAACAAGTTCTCATTTTGGTCTTAAGTTCAATATATAAACAGTAATAATAAATAAATATACTCTGGGGAAGATAAACAGAGCAACATTCAGCTGTTTGGCTTCTAAGGGAGTTTTAAATGCTAACATTTATTTTTACAACTTTGATAAAGTTCAACTGAAGTGGATGGGTCTCTGATGAAATCTTCTGTCTAGTGTGGGGCAAGTGGCTTTTCTGCCTTAGAAGGAAAACCTGTTGCCAGCCTATTTATTTTTATGTATTTTAAGTCAACATTTATGCCATTATTCAGGAGAAGAGTACTTGGCTGAACACAGAGTGGAAAAAACTCACCACAACTGCAAATACATTACAAGTGACTCCTAGGAAAAGAAAGCCATCAACGCCACTTCTATTCTGGAAAAATATCCAGACATGGTAGAAACTGAAAAACAGCAACTAACTGGCGAAATTGTAGGGGCTGGAACGGACCTCTAGAAATCATTTAGTTTATTTTTGGACCATGGTGGGGAAAAAAAAAAAACAAAAGCTTTTTTTCTTTGTAGAAATTCACATTTTCAAACACGTTAGCCTGTTGCAAAATCAAATGACAGTAAAACTGTCTAAATATGTAACTAAATATTAACACATTCTGTTAAATGGACTTCCAAAGTCACTTCAGGTCTGTTCCTTAGGGATGAAAGGCACAAAACACTGCCCACTCCCCACCTCGCCCAGCAGTCTCTGGAAGGTCTCCTTATTGCTTTTATTTTTTAATTCTTGATGTGCTTTTCTGCTTTAGGTTCATCTTTTGCTGTCTAGTACCTCATGTAGCTGCTTGTATAATGAAATCAAAATAACTGGAAACAAAACCTGAATGCAGATTTTTTTAAGAGAAATCCTCTTGGATATTTCCTTTTCCTCCTCTTTGTGAGGTAGTGTTTCAGCAGATTCTCGCATCTACAGGCTGAATGAAATATCTTTTTTGCTGAGAAAATTAGAGCTGTAAAGCCCTCCTTCCAGAAGTCTGTTTTTAATGAGGCCATTGTAGGCCATAAGGGATGCTAGTGACTGCATATGTATGGCCACCTTGGCAGAAGAATGAATGCAGATGGGCAGTGTTTAGTTGATCTGGCAAGATATGAGTGAAGAATCTCATTTATGGCTTTCAGGTGTGTATAACCAAGATGTTATAATTGCAATATAATCAAAAGAGTAAGGCAAAGCTGTATAACCAAGATGTTATAATTGCAATATAATCAAAAGAGTAAGGCAAACAAGGATCACAAAAGAGAATAAGTAGAAGAGCTTACCCTTGGGTTGAGCTCACTAGAAGATATCAAAGAGGAGGATCTCCAGAAGAGATCCTTCCCCTGTGGTAGCCAGCTCTTAAATAGGTCCAGGAGGGGTGGAGCCAGGCTCCACCCCTTCCGGCAGCACAGGTGAATTGCCTTCACATGTGCTCCTCTGGCTGACTCAAGGCTCACCTCAGGTGATTAATCAGAGGTTCAGGCCGTGACTCAGCAGTTCCCATACACAGGTGTTTGTGAAAGAATAAGGAAAACACAGCATTAGGTAACAGATATTGCTCTGAAGGCACTAAAAATACATATAAAAGTGACCCATGAACTCTCTAAGGTGACAGTAATTTATGACTCATTTTGCTTTGTGAGGTATAAGTAGAAGTGATTGAATGTGGTACCGATAACCATAGTATTTGCTAATGTTTTGACCCATTGTGAGTGTGTAGATATATGCATATGTGTAATTCATTGCGGTTTTCTTATTGTTCATGGATTTATCTGTGATCAGAGTTGGAAACTCCAAAACCAAACAAAATTCTCTGCAGCACATGAAGGTAAAAGATATCAAGATTCTAGGTAGAAACTCTCAGTGTTTTTGTATGTCATCAGCAAATGATCCCATGTTCTTAAGATCCTGAGAACCTATAATGGAAGCAATAAATAACATAAACATTGACCCTCTTTCTTGCTTGCTTGCTTTTTTCCACTGGCCTAGCTCATTGGTCTCTTACTTCAAAGAATAAACTAAACATTTAAATATGATTTGTTTGGCTGAACTATGTAAAGCTGCTTGGTTTATCCTGTTGCTGGTTGTCTGCAAAATGTGTTAGGTAACTTGGTTGGCTGGCTGTGCACTGCTGAGCATGTATGCTTCACTATTCCTGTTCAGAACAGTTCCAATCAGTTCCTCTGGTAAGGAAGGGCACTGATCAGAATAAGCCAGACTTAATAATCTCCTACTTGGAAGCAGGTTTATTCGAATTCTTGGCCAAACTAGGAAATGTAGTTTCAAGCATGATCATCATTACCAAGCCTCTGTTACCCATCTCCTCCACTTGGCCACTGGGCAGGATATATATGTTTAATTAATTCTGCTTTTACCTTTGACCTGTAAATAGTGGGAGCGGTGTCAGATTTATATGTTATATGAGTAACAAGGATTTCTCAGGAGACCCTATCCTGGTGAAAGAGGCTAACTGTAATTTTCAGCTGTGAGTAATTGTATATAATATAATCCTAAATGATTTTTCTTCTGTAATTTCATTAGAGTTTAGAAATTTAATTAGATTTTGAATCACTCTGAAATAAAGTAGCAAAACACCCAGAGACTAAGAGCAGTGGTTATTTTTTCCTCTGAGGCTAGAATTCTTGGTCTCAAATTGGCATGTGTTCATTAGAAGGAAGTTTGCAGAAGTTCTTGATATATTATTCTCTTTCAGAATGGACTCTGAATAGGTCTTTGGAGAGCATTAGAAGAGCACACAGTTATTATACGGACTCTTTTTGAGGTTTAAGATCATCTGCCTTGCATATACTTAATAAAAATGTGCCTCTAAAGTTGTTTAAGAAACTGTGGAGATGGGGAAGATGCACCTCCAGTGCCTCAGTGCTCTTCCTGGTTTATTAGCAGCTCCAATACCTGTGTATGATGATACAGAGAGGAGCTGTTTACTTTATTTTAATGATTAGGTAGGTTTATGGTTATTTTTATTGCTACACATATGAACTGTCATGGTGGCTGTAATTAGAGGCACACTGAAGTGCTGTTCCTTCTCTTCCATCTGTGGTTAAAAGAAATATCTATCCTTCTGGCAGGCTTTGATTCTCTACTGAATTTGTACCGATGTGTGAAAACCAGTAACAAAGCAGGTGACAAACTGGACAGGGTAAGGTCAGTGCAGGAGCCAGTGATGGTGGGAGGTCCCAGGGCAGCTGCAGTGTGTTCAGAAATTGACCTTCTTAGAAGACTTCTATAGCCTAGGTGTGCAAGTTCTTGCTCCCTTGTTCTAACAGGCATAGCATTGTTTGTGAAGATGCTGAACTGATAAAGGGATTTGAGTGTGTGGGAGCACTTTCTATAAAGCCTTTATCCTCATGGCAGGGACGCTTTTCTCACTGGTATTAGTTGTTTGAGATAGGACTATCTGTTTGATCTGCAGATATTAATTCCTTACAGGGCAAAGCATGTAGCAAATTAAAGCGTTAGGAAGAGAGAAGGAAATTCAGGTTACTTTCAGCATGGCAACAATATAAAGAACTGTAACTGGGACAGACAGCATGAATGGAGAAATCTGACAAATAAGCTAGGTGTGAGAGACAGCAAATGTGAAATGAAAAATACCAGCAAAACAAATTGAGCAGAAAATAACGCTTTGTAAGTTATGGCAATCCAACATTTTGAAGAGAAATAGGGAAGTCCAATGCAGTAGGGTGTATGTCAGTCCTGAAGTGAGCAGTCAAAAGTAAAATTAGGAGCTAACTGGGATGTTCTGTCACCAACTGGTCTATGTTACCATTGGTAACATCCTCTGTATTGGCTAAAGTGCTAATACACTGCAGGCAGAAATGGGGTGAGATGATTCACTGGTCTGATTCTTTTGTTCCCTTAGCAGCTCTCAGTGGAAGTACATCATTGCACACATCCAGTCTTCAGACTCAAAATTTGTTTTCAGTGTGTCCACTTAAGTCTTAGAGACATTTCAGGAAGAAAAATATGTAAAGTTTTGTGAATATGTATCAATGGATCTTAAGCAATCTCAGGGTTATCTGGTGTATGTGGGCATGTTGTCATTAACGTGCCATTTGACATCACGGAACAAATCAAGGAAAACATGTTCCAGCTGGTTACTGCCAAAAAAATTGAGGATCTTTTGCTATGGGCATCTGGAACAAATTGAAACCATGCTTGAAAACTCACAGCTGCTCTTCCTTTTCTATTTTCTCCATCTCCTCCTCTGTCAGGACTCTGAGATGCTGGGACAACTGGGAGGGATTCCACATCTCAGCAAGCAACAGAATCACACACAACAGAATGTTGGGTGTGTTAACAAAGGGAAACATGCCTGCACCAATTATTTAGTGCCTTCTTCCCTTGGCAATAAGGAATAGTACCAGAAAACATTCAATATGTCATTCTTATTCCTTTTTTCTCCTCCTTCTTTGTTTCCTTTTCAATATGGGGGAATATGCTCATACATTTAAAAATATCTTTTTCTTTATTTTTCTTGGGGGATGCTAAAGCTTATACACAGAGAGGTGTAAGGGGATGAAGAAAAAAACCTTGTGACAGGTTGTCACAACTTATGTCTCTTTCATGCAACACCATGAAAGAAAATGTCAAAGCAGTTCACAGCTCATCTTCGCAGTCTTCAATTTCAGATGTCATGCCCCAGATCTTGCTCTATTCTCACAAGGATTATAAAATCGTGTGTGTAGAATTGAAAGGTGCATATCTGGTGCATTGAAACAGTCTAATTTTCAACTGAGTTTTAGACTCTTACCATTGCTGAAAGCAAGGTTTGGGATCCTGGGGAACAAGGTGATACTTTTTCCAGAATGATACTTTAGACCAAGGGATTTCAACTCCTTCCTGGTTTTGAACAATTTAAAAAAATAAAAATAAAAAATAAAAAAAA